ATTACCCGTTGCTAGGTCGTTGCTATGTTTATTTTAGCACAATAAATCAGCTACCCACCCAAGAGGGTGAGAAGGTGAGAATATCCACTGTGGTTAGGGTAAATAACTAAGGAATGGTGTGAATATCCACTGTGGTTAGGGTTGGGTATCAATGTTCTTATGTCGACGCTGACAGATTGAGGGAGCGAATGGCATTCCGTTTGGAAGTCGAGGGTTGGGATTCTGAGTCGCTGCAAGACTCCGCGTCCGAGAGTAGCGCTCCTGGGGACGGGCCGTCGGCATCTAAAAGGCGTAGGCACAAACTTCCTGCTGAGAGCCTCGCTCTTTGCATCATCTAAAAATTCAAACCTCTCTGTAGCTTCGGAAGTAGTGCACGTAGCCCTCTTCCTTGTCAGCGAGAGCCTACGCCTTTTATATGCCGACGGCCCGTCCCCAGGAGCGCTACTCTCGGACGCGGAGTCTTGCAGCGACGTCTCAGAATCCCAACCCTCGACTTCCAAACGGAAAGCCTCTGCCATTCGCTCCCTCAATCGCTCCCTCGATCTGTCAGCGTCGATCGCGTTTGCCTGGCTGAGCGGCGTACGATAGAATTAACGGCACGTTATGTAGTCTATGCGCAGGTTCACGCGCATCGCCTTATTTGGGTGGATGCGCCATTTTCGCGCGCGGTTTCCCCAGCAACGACCAATCAGCGGTGATAAACATTTTATTACACCTTTTGTCGTGGTGCTGCGGTTTATCTGTATAAACCAGCAACACCACTCCAAAAGGTGTAATAACATATACATATTACTTTACAACACACACAATTCTGAAGTAATTTTATAGTCCCTTTGGGAAAAACAAGGGGAAGTAATATTGTGCCACATTTATACACAATCCCCAGTATTGTGTTCACTCTCAGCATTTTTTGCATGACACACACATCTTAGGTACATACTTAGCTTCGAGGGTTAAAGCAATAATTCCCGAGACCATGGGTGTGGCTGCACTTGTTCCACCAAATGACTCAGTACATCCTCCACCAACAGCTGTAGACGTCTAAATAGATGAAGGCAGACAGCTATAGCTATAATGCAAAGGGCTTGAGAAATTTACATACCACAGCAGAGTTTCCAAATGGATTTGTGACATAAGCAGTGACCAGTTTTGCAGAGCACACTTCATCAAAGGGACTGGGGTAACCATCGACTCCCAGAGCTCCAACTGATATGGTGTATGGACTAATGGCATAGCCATCAGCTGCACAATCATCATCAGATCCGCCGTTACCATTAGCCCACACGTATATACTGCCCTTCCCTCCACGACCCTGAGGATAATGACCTAAAGCGCTTAATTTTCTCTCTTGAGCTCATACCTCTGTAGTTCCTGTTTCAAAAGCAATGCGTGTTAATGTTCCAGGACCATCTACCGTGTTGCCATCATCGAACGGTCCCCAACTATTGCTGTACACGTCCACAATGTCGTTTTCAAAAGTCAGGCTAGAAGCTTCGTTCATATCAGTCCCTGCACCGAGCAGGGCCAGACCTGTGTGTTAGTTACACATAAATACATTCACACCCTGCAAGCTGGCTTGAACGGGCATCTCACCTCCTAAGTTAACTTCGTGAGCAATTCCCACACCACATACATCATTATTCTTGACGGATCCAATGATCCCACCAACACTAGTGCCATGAGATGGGGAAATTGCTGGATGGGTCTTGATCATTTTGAATAAAGTCATAAGCCACTTGAGGAGCCTGTAGCAAAAGTGTTTTCTCATTCGGAGAAAATGGTGTTTTTACTTACAAAGTTATCAAACAGGTCTGCATGAGTAAAGTCCAACCCTAAGGAGTTAAAATTTGTCAGTTTACTAAAGTTTTCCACCTATTATACAAACTTACCATCATCCACAACAGCTACAGTGACATTGCACCCACTGTATCCCTGTATCCAGGCTGGCTCAACATTCAAATCATTTCCTCTGAACTGCTCCCCAAATTGTGCAGAGTTTAGCTAAAACAATGAATAATAATTATTAGCTTCATTGGTTTTTGGCTGATATTAGCTATAATAGATTGCCAATGACTTTCCGTCAAACATGCGTTTAACTAAACTTACCACATTCCACTGCGTACTAAACAGAGGATCAGTTGGTGCAACATAACTCTTCTTAGCTCTCGGACGGATTACTTGTTGTTCAGCAAACCCGACCTAGCATTGAAATAGAGTAAAGCAGGTCTTCGTGGATGGCCCAAATACTTTACCTCTGGCTCACGAAGGAGATGTTCTTTCTTGGTCATGTCTGGGGAATCAGTTTTCATGGACCTTTTCTCACTATCACAAAGTTTGAAGTGATAAATTTCTCTGCCACTACCGATCTGAAAATCAAACATCATCATTGTTAATTTTAATGCAATTATTAGCTATAATATACCTCCATTTTCCCCATGTTTCGGAAGCAGTGCTTTACTGCTATGTCATCAGCAGTTATCTTTCCACCAGCTCTTATTTCTACAGCCCAAGAAGCTGTATAGGTTTCAGAATCTTGGAAACTACTCTTTGTTTCCTTAGCTTCTCCAACGGTGACCATTGGTATAGCAAGAAGGAATATAAGAGCAAATTTTGCCATTTTGATTCTTCTTGTATTTTGTGCTCTCTTTGGTGCACGCTGCAGCTTTTATACCCAGGTGTTGGTGGTTGGTGAATATACCACACCTAACCACAGGAATGTCTAGTTACCTGCAAAGTGGGGATTATCCATACCGTATACACCCTCGCTCCCCAGGGAACGAGGCTATACGTATCCGAATTCCTCTTGCATTCGTTTGTGCTTAGTCTGGGCGTCGTACCGTACGCGCAAACACTAGCAAAGAGGAGACCGTTTGCAAGTGAGTTTGTACGGGTGTGTTTAGTTAGGATCGCAGTAGCTACCTCATTTGGCAACAAGCAGCTGTTCGAGTAGAGCCAAGATACAATGGATACGATGTAAGCTTTGCACTTCTGTTCCATCAGGAGAGCAAGATCCTCTGCGAACTCCCACGCACAATTATTCCCACGCATGCGCACGCGTATATACACCGCGCGCGCGTGTGGAGAGGGCTTGGTTTTCGATCAGCTGCCAATGCTCTTCCTGATGACCAACGTTGACCAATGAACGCTCGTCTAATGTACATTAGCCCACTGCCGTTTGCTTTGCTGATGATTTCCCACGCCAGTTAAACTGTGCGGTATCAACGCTTTGACTTGCAAAACGCACGTAAAAGCAATGGAGAGAGCCTTTTTCCAAGCGCCCACTAAACACGCGCAAGTTGCGGAAGTTGCATAACCCTATATAATTATCCGGGAGCTACCGGACGTCCGTTCCCCCTGTGGGTGGGGCGGCTGGGTACGAGACTACCTCTTTTGGCAGAAAGCAACACCAGCAATCTTTCAGGTATATACTTACCATTGTAGCGCGAAGCTTCGCGCGTGTGACGTGCACATTCTTCGCGAAGAACATTAGCTACGGTATGACAGTCCCCGACCGCGAGTTATAGCCATTGATCTGTTCGCTCGCCAATACTGGAAAAAGACCCCCAAGTGATTGTTTTTGCTAAGGCTCATCTGCATTATGGGGGAAGAGTTTACCTATCGTGATATTCAGCTCTTGAAATCTGTGAGTCTCGGTAGTGGATCATATGGAGGGGTGTGTAAGGCCCGATGTGATGGTCTATTGTGTGCTGCCAAAATAATGCACCCCACACTCTTTGATCCACGTGATCCAGGAAGAACTACATACCTCAGTAAGTTCCTAGAAGAATGCCGTCTACTTAGTCTAGCGAGGCACCCCAATGTAGTCCAGTACCTGGGTACTTACACTGACCCTGACACACGACTGCCTGTTCTCCTCATGGAGCTTTGCGATGAAAGTCTGACGGCATTCCTGGAGCGATCCCCAAGACCACTGTCCTACCACACTCAGGTGAACATCTCCCACGACATAGCACTGGCTCTGGTCTACCTACACTCCAATGGTCTCATCCACAGAGACCTAACGGGAAACAATGTTTTGATTATTGCTGGCCCTCGAGCGAAAATTACAGATTTCGGAATGTCCAAGCTTGCCAGTGTCAATCCCCGCATGTCGGCATTGACCAAGTGCCCCGGTAATATGCTGTACATGTCTCCTGAAGCACTCGATGATGGAAAATCCTACACTACTAAGCTAGACATCTTTTCATTTGGGGTCATTGTCATCCAAATCTGCACTAGGCAATTCCCCGATCCAACTGGTCGCTTTCGTATTGTCAACACCAGACAAACTCACAGAGGGGAGGAGGAGGAAAAGGAAATCCGGGAAGTAATTCCCGAGACAGAGCGTCGTCAGGCCCACCTTAAACTAATTCCAGACGCTCACCCTCTCAAGCTCTTAGTGCTGGAATGTTTGAAGAAAAAGGAAAGTCTGCGTCCTTCAGCTGTCGAGCTCACCGAGAGGATTTCAGGGCTCATGGATTCTTCTGATTTTACGGAGAGTTTGCTAAGGGCACAAGGCAATAGTGACATTGACCGCCTCGAGAAACAACTGAAGTACCAAGTATTCTTGACAGAGGCTAAAGCAGATGAAGCTGAGCAGCATCAGGCACGGATAACAGAGCTAGAGTCTGTAGTGAGTGACAAAGATAGAGAGCTTCAGGCCAAAAACAGGGAAATATTGAGGTATAAGCACACAATTGACTCCCAAAAGCAGCGGCTAGAGGATTACGAGCCTAGCACACAAGCCCGTGAAAGAAGCATCCAGGCTATAAATATCCAGCTACAAGAACTAAAGCGTGGATTTGAGGCGCAAGCCCGAGAGCTCGAAGCCAACAGTGTCGAGATGCAAGTCCAAGAGCTTACAATAGATGCCAAAGAGAGACAGCTACAGGAATGTCTAGATACCATAGAGTCCCACAGACAAGGCCTACAAGCCAAAGACACTGAGCTTCAGAGACTACAGCTTACACTTAGCCGACAGCGTGGAGCCAGTGAGCAGGAGCAGCAGGACGTCAGGCAACTTCGCGCTGAAGGTGAGGATGAAGCACAAGTCAGAAAGCAAATGGAGTTGATGGAGATACAAGAACAGCTACGTAATGCCGAGCATTTGCTGTCAGAGTTCCAGCTGAGTCTGGAACAGAAAGATAGCACCATCGCTGCTCTTGAGAGAATGATTCAGGAGCTGGAGGAGCCAGACACACTCAGTCTAGTACAATTACCACTACAACACACAACTACACCGGAAGTGGCAAGTAAGTCAATATCGAAGAAGGGAGTAAATGCCCCGGAACAAATGTCCAGAGGAGCAGCTGTCGTGTATGGTGATCAAGCCTGCTTCATGCCTGTAGGTTCGCACAAAGTCTTCTCGTATCGACACCAGAACCAACAGTGGTCTCAGTTACCAGATAACCCAAACCCCGACTGCGGCCTTGCGGTTGTCAATGGTGCCCTCACAAGTGTGGGTGGCTGTACCACTCAACCTACTAACGCTCTTCTTAGCCTGATGGAAAATGGGCGTTGGGTTGATATCTTTCCTCCTATGCCCACACCACGCTGTCTTGTTGCTTGTGTCACTGCCAAGAGTAGACTAGTTGTTGCTGGAGGTGATCAAGACAGATGTGGTGGAGGCCTCGAAACTGTGGAGGTTATGGACACAGAAACAAAGGAGTGGAGCACCGCATCTCCTCTTCCAAGAAAATGTTCCGTATTATCCGCAGCCGTCGTGGGAGACACACTCTATCTTGCAGGAGGCTATCGCTCAGAAAACTCCGTATTCACGTGCTCCGTTTCCGATTTCCAACCGAAAATGAAACAATCCGTAATATGGCGCATGTTTAGTCAAACTCAGAGGAAAGAAATTAAGGGTCTACCCGTATTATTTTCCACACTCGCTACAATCGGGGACGACCTATTAGCTATTGGGGGAAAAGATGACTCTGAGAATCCTACTGCTAATGTGTACAAGTACGACTTCCATAGTAAGGTTTGGAAAGTGTTAGGCCAGATGACAAACACACGATTGCTTTGCCTTGCCGTCTCTCTTCCCGGGGAAGACTGTGTTATGGTTGTGGGGGGATTTGTTGATAGAGACTATGTCATCACCGAAAACAGTGTCGAACTTCTGCAGATAAAAAACGAAGAGCAATAATTATGCTACAAACGAAACACATTAATATTGCTAGGTTCATTTTATTGACATGATGTGTGACACCGAAATTCCTTAAACATGATTTGAAATTTCTTTACTTTTGGGGAAGCGAGTAGATTCAATTATATGAAAAACCCAAGGTTCTCTGCAGTCCTTGTATACGCGCATACAATTGCTTTGCGCATGCGCATTTTGCAATCTGCCATGCCCCCGAATTTCACTTCAGAGTTTTATGGATCTGCCCCTGATTATCTCCCTTACAATAAACCCTACAAACTATTATTATATAGCACTGTAGGACCATTTGCCACCTATACAGTGGTGTGTGGCACAAACCCGCGTGCTAGGCCCTTGCTCGAGCCTAGGGCTAAGATTAGCGTGTTTGATGTACTAGTGAATCACTTAAGTACCAGTAGTTTCTGATGACCACTGTCTTGTATGCTGGGCTGCGAGGATTGACCACGTACCTGATTAATTAACACCTCTTGGGAGTATTGCAAAACTACATACTAAAGCAGTTTATCATTGTGTGGAGTTTCAATGTAAAGGTCAAAGATATAAGAGAGTTGACATGAATAGTCATTTTCGTCGAGTTTGGGGCGTTATGTACGCGGATCATGTGAGATTTGACCCGCGCCATTCTACAAACGCTCTGCGCTCTGGACACTACAACGCGGAGGTCCTCGGGTTCATTAATTAAAATCCCGTAGTTCGTACGTAGTAACTAAGATTTTTAGGAGGAGCAGCTGTAGTGTATGGTGATCAAGCCTGCTTCAGCTGTAGGTTCGCACAAGTCTTCTCGTATCGACACCAGACCAACAGTGGCTCAGTGACCAGATAACCCAGACTCGAGCTGCGGTTGTCATGTTCCCCACCAGCGGCTGTACCCCAACTACAACGCTTCTTAGCCTGAGGAAAATGCGTTGGGTGATATCTCCTCCTATGCCCACGCCACGTTTCCGCGCCGTGTCAGTGCCAGAGTAGCTAGTGCGCTGGAGGTGCAGACAGATGTGCCGTAGGCCTCGAAACTGTGTTTGGACACTGTACAAAGGATGGAGACAGCATCTCTTTCAAGAAAATGTTCCGCATTATCGCAGCCGTGGGAGACACACTCTATCTTGCAGGAGGCTCGCTCAGAAAACTCCGTATTCACGTGCTCCGTTTCCGATTTCCAACCGAAAATGAAACAATCCGTAATATGGCGCATGTTTAGTGTGGACCAATCAGATTGCTCTATTTAACGTCTTTTGACACTAATCTTGAATACTAAACTAGACCTCGTTTGCTAGTGTGATACACATTTGACTCTCAACTCAGTGTGCACTATTTGATACTAACGTTCACATTTATTAGTGCATGCTGGTTTAATTCAGAATGAGAAACACCAGAGTGTCAATATGTAATTCAAGAGTGAGTTAGTTTTGGCACTAATCACCCGCCATCTTATCAGTTTTTAATAACGTTGTAACGCATTGTTTGGCTTTGTGCGCCAGTAACACAAAAGCTGATGCGCGCGCCTATTGTCGGCACACCTCGACAGGACTAACCGCAAGTGCCGTGGTTACAACCCCCCAGCTATGCGACGTTGGAGTCCGTCCAAGCAGCCTATTGTTCGACATCAGATCCTTGACCGGACTAACCGCAAGTGCCATGGCTACAACCTCGGCTATGCGCGTTCTAACGTTGGAGTCCGTCCTAGCAGCCGGATCGCAGCTCAGTATTCGCTATACCTACGGTAAACACCGGTTTTCTCTCTCCTACTGGTATGACTTCGATCTCGAAAGTTTGGACGGAATTTACGGAAGTGATTTTGTGGAGAAGGTTTTCACTCACATCGCCGCGTTTTCAATATTTCCTCTGTGCAGCTTGAAGCCCGACGTAGTGGACTGGGGACCATACTCTCGTTGGCATACTCCTGAATTTGAGCGCGTGTGGAACAGGGCGTGGAGTGGACTATCAGGACAATGGCGCTACGAGAACGACATACCGCACACGACCGCACCGGGATTTGTTTCGAAGCCCTCGCCTTCTGCTATAAATTCAATTGCCATTGAGCCCCTCACAACCACAACTACATTGGCTTTCTTTGGTGGAGGAAAAGATAGCCTTGTCATGTGCGAGCTTCTCTCCAGGGCAGGCATACCTTTCTCTAGTTTGTCGTTCTCTCACACGGTCTTCGGTCGCACTGCCGTCCAGCATGAGCTCTGTGAAAAGGTGCTAAATGTGCTGCAATCGGAATACCACAAACATCACCACAAGTTATGCGTACTTGATGACCTTCTCGAGAGTCCAGCTTTGGAGAGTATCGGCAAAGAAGTTGGGGTAAAAACATTCATCCTTGGTGATATAACGGCGGTGTTGTTCTCCTCTTTACCCATCCTGCTTTACTACCGCTACACAAACATCACCATTGGGAGTGAACGCGGCTCCAATGCGGGTAACTTGGTGTGGGACCGCACGGGCGAGGAAATAAACCACCAGTGGCTGAAGTCAACTGAGTCAGTGAGCCTTTTTGATGATTACATACAGCAGGCCCTAATTACCAATGCCCACTACTTCAGCCTGTTGGTACCGGTCTATGACGCAGTAATCTATAGTGTGGCTACGAGCCAACTTGAAGCTGCCACCTTTACTCACTCTTGCAATTTCGTAAAGCCCTGGTGCAAGCGTTGTCCAAAGTGTTGCTACGTTTGGCTCATGTTCATGGCTTTCTTCCCACGTGATGTAGTGGATGAAATGTTCCAAGGTGCAAATCTGTTAGATATTCCGCAAAACGAGATACATTTTGTGCAGATGCTTGGGCTTGGTTCAAACAAGCCTTTTGAATGTGTCGGAGATTTTGACGAGGTGAAACTTGGTTTTGAGTTAAGTCGAAGGAAAGGGCTTCAGGGTAAGGCGATGGAGATATTCAAGGAAAAGCTTCTTGGAACAATCGATGAGAAAGCTTTGACTTCTCTAATAACCAAGTACACCACAGTGTATTCTTCTGAATCCAGTAACATTCCACCTGCAGTATGGGATCGCCTGCTACCGATACTCGAACAGGCGGGAGATGATGCACGAACCAAAATTGAAGCTCAAATCAAGAGCTAAAAATTGACTTTTGTTGAATGTAGTCTTTCTTTATAATTATTCCCCCATTATAATAACTAACAGCTTTTATTTTGCATAAGCGTGCACGCCAATAGATCGTGAAATTTTCGCGTGGGAAGAACGAATGCGTGCAAAAAGGAGCTCGTTTGATTCCTCACGTAGCACACAGTATATACAGCACTTATCTGCGTACGCATACAGCTATGACATTTAATGCTTCAGACCGAAAACCAAGTCTAGAATCTGTGCTCACACTCAACAGGGCACTATAAAATAAGGAGTCCCCCATCCAGGTTTCCGCAATGGATTGACAGTGTAACAGAGAAATCTCTGTAGTTTCCCTCTTAAAACGTCCAGATATGACCCCAGCGACTCCAGTCCGGGGAGTAGTGCGGTTGAAAGCTACTACATTTCCAACCTACATCAACATCCTGTGTCTATTTTCGACAAATCTGCCGTAATCTGCCGCTTTTCAAAAAAGGCTGACTCGGGCGAACCAGAATGTCGTATGCAGCTGCAGCAAGGCCGTGGATGAACTAGCCATTTCAAAACGAGTATCCCGAGCGTACACCCCTCTAGTCGCGCACGACCCTACTTTTTCGCATGCGTCTGTATACCAGCGCACAAATAGTTCTGCGTGGGCGATCTCCGCGAAGTCCTGGGCTCGAGCATCAGGTGAGGGTAGACACTGGATTGCTCCCGCACAATGAGCTTCTTCGCAAGGCAAATTGGCAAAATATCCGCGTATTGCTTTTATGTTTTTCCTTTAATGTATTGAAAGTGGACCAATCCTCCAGATATTCCCTTCCCCCATGGTTGTGCGTATAACTCCATAACCCACCACACTGCCACTATTATTAACAGCAATAGAGCAGAAGCAATTGGGAGCAAAAACCCCATTTTTCAAGGAATAAAGGACGAGGGTAGCTACACGTGAACATGAGTATCATAGTCTAGTAAAGCCGTAAAAAGTAGCTTTGATGCCGGAATTATCTCAATTTCCTTTGGTCGGTCGAATTTTGATAAAAAATGAGATTCTACTACAAAGTCAAAACACTGCTGGAACCACATTGACTTAAAATTAAGAAGTTTTGTATACATTGGCATCATATCAATGCTTGGATCACCTGCCAAGTTGACATTTTCATTCAATGAGGCCTTTGCAATATTCCACATTTTTAATCCATAGCCTTTTCCTTGATATTGCTCATCTTCTAGGTATGGACCACCGTAGGCAAAGTCAGTAGTGTGCTTTATGAAAGAAACACAGTTGATAGGATTTCCATTTAGTTCTCCAACAAAAAAACCTGTTTTATCGGCAGCATAATAGCTAACATGATCAAGTGTCCCTAGCTTCCAACCTCTATCTATTGTTTTTGAGTACACAAGGTCGTAAACCTCTTCTGGTGTTGTAAGCCTCCTCACCTTAAAACTTTCTGAAGCCATTTTGCATCCTTTCACCAAGCGAATTGACCTTGAATGCGGATACAACTTAAAAATACTCCAGGAGAAGATAACCATCTTGAATGCTGTTGCTGTCAGGATGATACGCGACCAGCAAAGAACAGCTAGGATGTCGTCTTTTATAGAGGTTTTGCATACACGTCGCAATTAGGGGGCGTAGCCTCGTAGCTTGGCGAGCTTTCTCTGCCTAGTTTCTCTTAGTGACAGAAACTGATCCGTGGTTTGAAGGTTTTTGCTTAGGCTGCTGCTCTGTGGCAGCAACGCATGGGTGTTGGGTTCCCGAATCGGTCAACTTACAACTTGCAAGCCTCAACTGGAGCCCTTTCACTGCGGATCATCGATTATGGTATAATTTGCTATATATTATTGGCCCTGCTGAACCATCGATGAACAACATTCATAAAATTATTAATGATGCCAGATCTCCCAGTGCATAAAAGCAAACCACTAGCTTTTCTTAACAAAGCCCCCAATAAAGGGCAACATAGTGGACAAATGTAGATCCTTTGGAGGTTCCCCTAAAATTAATGGTTTATTAGAGCGTCAGCATAGGGATGGGATCTCACGTGATCCGCATACAAAACGACTAAAAACTCGGTGAGAATGACTCTCTAGGCCTTCAAAACACACTAGCAATGTTTACGGGCCCATATCTACCTATAGCTACAAGTTCCCCAAAGACCTCATATGCACCTTCTGTCGTCCACGCGAGAATTCGCTCATACGATCATCATTATTCTTCATCTTCTTCTCCCGCTTCTTCTTCTTCCTCTTTTCTCTTCTCTCTTCTTCTTCTCTCTTCTTCTTCTCTCTTCTTCTTCCTCTTCTTCTTCTCTTCTCTTCTTCCTCTTCTTCTTTTTCCTCTTCTTCTCCTCCTCTTCTCTTCTTCCTCTTCTTCTTCTTCTCTTCTTCTCCTTAGCTACCAGTATATACCAGTTGAAGCGCTGATTTTTTCACCGAACGTATCCAATTTCACCAGACGTGTGCACAGATATCAAGCGATCGTTTCTTTCTTGCCGCAAGTCATGGAGCTCTTCCATAGTCGACACTGAACAAAGCCACTTGTTGAACTCAGCAACAGTGAGTCGCGCGCAAGACTTAATGAGGTATATAGTACATCTCTCGAAAGAGAAAGAGTGTGCAAGTGCTCCCCACGTTTTTTCACATTGCATGCACGCTTTTAACACATGGAGGCACAGCTTTCATAACCGTATACTGTACTGTACAACATGAGTGCACAGGAGGTGGAGCAGTGTTGCGAACAAGCTAAGCAAAGTAGCTTGCTCTATGACAATGTTGGGCAAACACGAAGTCAATCAAGCCAAATGTAGGGAAGTGACTCCAGGGGAGGGCATTAGTAGTGAGAGTGCCCATTTGGCCCCAATAAAGAGCAACATAGTGGACAAGTGTAGATCATTTGGAGGTTCCCCTAAAATTAATGGTTTTATTAGAGTGTCAGTATAGGGATGGGATCTCACGTGATCCGAATAAAAACTCGGTGAGAATAACTCCCTAGGCCTTCAAAACATATATACTAGCAATGGTTTACGGGCCCATATCTACCTATAGCTACAAGTTCCCCAAAGACCTCATATGCACCTTCTGTCGTCCACGCGAGAATTCGCTCATACGATCATCATTATTCTTCATCTTCTTCTCCCGCTTCTTCTTCTTCTTCCTCTTCTTCTTCTTCTTCCTCTTCTTCTTCTTCCTCTTCTTCTTCTTCCTCTTCTTCTTCTTCTTATTCCTCTTCTTCTTCTTCTTCCTCTTCTTCTTCTTCCTCTTCTTCTTCTTCCTCCTCTTCTTCTTCCTCTTCTTCTCCTTAGCTACCAGTATATACCAGTTGAAGCGCTGATTTTTTCACCGAACGTATCCAATTTCGCCAGACGTGTGCACAGATATCAAGCGATCGTCATGGAGCTCTTCCATAGTCGACACTGAACAAAGCCACTTGCTGAACACTCAGCAACAGTGAGTCGCGCGCAAGACTTAATGAGGTATATAGTACATCTCTCGAAAGAGAAAGAGTCTGCAAGTGCTCCCCACGTTTTTTCACATTGCATGCACGCTTTTATCACATGGAGGTACAGCTTTCATAACCGTATACTGTACTGTACAACATGAGTGCAGGAGGTGGAGCAGTGTTGCAAACAAGCAGCAAAGCAAAGTAGCTTGCTCTATGACAATGTTGGGCAAACACGAAGTAAATCAAGCCAAATGTGGGGAAGTGACTCCAGGGGAGGGCATTAGTAGTGAAAGTACCTATTATGCCATCCTCTGAGTCTCTGTGTATTGATGTTTCTTTGGTAACTTCTCCAGTGAGGGTGCTTTTCTGCAATGTGACTCAAGGGTAGAGTTTTGTATTAATAGTGCCCATTGTGTAATACCCTCCAGAAAAGCTTGAAGTGTCCCACTTAGTGGCCATAGCCTATAAAACCCGCAGTATCTTCTCCCAAACTCACATTCAAATAGCTGCAACTTTCGTCAGCAAAACTGCCTACCAATTAAGAAGACTCACTAAAACACTGAGAGAGGGAACATGCATCTGACTCTTCTTGCCTTGGCTCTGGCTACTCTACTGGTGGCCCCCTCTGACTACGTACAACCTGCTGGGAGGCCCAACCCTCAACCCTACTATCTTCACTTTCGTGAAAAAAGGCCTTCACTCTCGAAAGTACTATTCCGGATTTTCACTAAAAATTCTGAAGTGGCCCTTGCGATGTTCTGTTTGCATCTGTTGAAAGTTCGGATATTGATAACAAAAAGAGTGCGCAAGTGCTCCCCAATCTTTTAGAATGCTTGCACAATAATAAAGAAAATTTTTCACATCGCATGCACACTTTCAACACGTGTGGAGGCAGGAGCCTTGTATAACCGTATACTGTACTCTACAACATGAGTGGAGAGAAAACAAAGTAGCTTGCTCTATGACATGTTGGGCAAACACGAAGTAAATCAAGCCAAATGTAGGGAAGTGACTCCAAGGGAGGGCATTAGTAGTGAAATTGCCCATTTGGCCATCCTCTGAGTCTCTGTGCACTTTTATTGCGTTGGTAACTTTTCCAGTGTGGGTGTTTTAAGCAATATGTAATTATATTAGTCAGAAACACTAACAAGTTACTCAGGTAGGGCTTTGTTTTCAAAGCGCCCATTTGGTCACTACCTTAAAAAAAAATTAAAGGAATGTTCCTTTAATTGGCCGTAGCCTAAAAAACCCGCAGCATCTTCTCCCAAACTCACACGCAAAAGGCTGCAACTTTTGTCAACACAACTGCCTACCAAATAAGAAGACTCACTAAAAACCTAAGAGAGGGAAGATGCGTCTGACTCTTCTTGCCCTGGCTCTGGCTACTCTGCTGGTGGCCTCCTCTGCCTACGTACAACCTGCTGGGAGGCCCAACCCTCAACCCTACTATCCTCAACCTAACATGGCTCGTTTTCAGGCTGAACGACCCAACGATGGACAGGACATTGCACAACAGGGTAAGTTACCAGTAGGTATAGGCGGCATTTTTGGTGGACGTGAATGAGCATACACAGCACCTGAAATGGTTTGACTTTGCACTACACTGCGATTAGTACATGCTCAGGTATATTATATCAACGTAGCACACTGCTCCCGGCTCACCCAATATTATAATGGAGGTTAATTCTGAGTCAGTAATCTCCATAGTTTCTGAAGCTGCAGTCTCAGCTTTAGCTCAGGTATGTGGAGAGATTTGCAACTATAATTATATTGACACTCTCTTTTCATTGTGCATACATGCACACATGCTCACACGTGCACAAACCTATATACACACTTAAAACAATGGACGAAAACAGGCAGACTTTAAGAAAGCTATCTCACTTACATTTGTCTAAAATGGCCTAAAAATCACTAATGACGTGCGATGCTTCATAGGAAGGATTGCACACATCTGCTAAAATCACTAGACGCATGACTGATGGGTTTTGCCCAATTTTTGTTCTAAAATGGTCTATTAGGCCATCCTCTGGTGTGAATGTAAGTCAAGGCTCAACAAACAAATGTAGGTGAGTGACTCCATGGGGTCTTTTTGGCAGAGGCCCAATTTGGCCATCGTCTGGTTTAATGTCAAAGACAGGTGCACATTTTTCGTTAAAGGGTCCATTTGGCCATCATTTGGTGTGAAGCCATATGTAGGTGACTCCAGGGGGGTTTGTCAGCAGAGGCCCAATTTGGTGACTGAGTGAGTAGCTATAATATCTAGCTGACCTCCGTGCCTATTGTTAGACATCAGATCCTCGACAGGACTTACCGCAAGTACTATGGCTACAACCTCGGCTATGCACGTTATAACGTTGGATCCGTCCAAGCAGCCGGATCGCAGCTCAGTATTCGCTATACCTATGGTAAACACCGGTTTTCTCTCTCCCACTGGTACGACTTCGACCTCGAGTCTTTGGACGGAATTTATGGGAGTGATTTTATGGAGAAAGTTTATACTCACTGCGCTGCATTCTCGATTTTTCATCTGTGCAGTTTGAAACCCGACCTATTAGACTGGGGACCATACTCTCATTGGCATACTGCCGAATTTGAGAGCGTGTGGAACAGCACGTGGAGTGGATTGTCTGGACAATGGCGCTACCAGAACGACTTGCCGGATATAAATGCACCGGTGTTTGCTTCAAAGCCGTCATCTGCTACTAATGCGATTACAATTGAACCGCAAAGCCCTCCTACCACACTCGCTTTCTTTGGAGGAGGAAAAGATAGTCTCGTCATGTACGAACTACTCTCCAGGACCGGTATACCATTTTCCTGCCTATCGTATTCCCACACTGTATACGGTCGCTCTGCTCTGCAGCGTCAATTGTGCGACAAGGTACCAAAGTCGCTAAATTCTGAATCTTGCAAACATCACCACAAGCTGTGTATAATGGAGGATTTGCTCGACAGTCCCGTTTTAGAGAGCAAGTGGGTGTAGAGTCGTTCATGGAGGGCGAAACACCAGCGAGTTTGTTCTCCTCTTTACCCATCGTGCTTTACTATCGATATACAAGCATAGCTTTCGGGAACGAACGCGGTTCCAATGCAGGTAACCTGGTGTGGGAGAGCACCGGTGAGGATATCAACCACCAGTGGGAAAAGTCAAGGGAAGCGGAAATCCTCTTCAGTAAGTATATACAGCAGGCCCTTGTCAGCAATGCTTCGTACTTTAGCGTGTTGCAGCCACTCTATGACGCAGTAATCTTTAGCGTGGCTGCGAGCCGCCTCGAAGCCGCGATCTATACTCACTCCTGCAATTTCGTAAAGCCCTGGTGCAAGCGTTGTCCCAAGTGTTGCTATGTTTGACTTATGTTCATGGCTTTGTTCCCATGCAACGTTGTTGATGAAATGTTCCAAGGAGCAAATCTGTTAGATATTCCGCAAAACGAGACATATTTTGTGCAGATGCTTGGGCTTGGTTCAAACAAGCCTTTTGAATGTGTCGGAGATTTTGACGAGGCGAAACTTGGTTTCGAGTTATGTCGAAGGAAAGGGCTTCAAGGGAAAGCGGTGGAGATATACAAGGAAAAGCTTCTTGGAACAATGGATGAGAAAGCCTTGACTTCTCTAATAACCAAGTACACCACAGTGTACTCTGCGGAATCAAGTAACGTCCCACCTGCAGTATGGGAGCGCCTGCTACCGATACTCAAACAGGCGGGAGATGATGCACGAACCAAAATTGAAGCTCAAATCAAGAGCTAAAAAGTGACTTTTGTATAATGCAATCTTTCTTTATAACAATTACTAATTATTATGATTATTTTCCCATTATAATCAGAAACAGCTTTTATTTTGCATAAGCGTGCACCCCAATAGACCATGAAATTTTCGCGTGGGAAGAACAAATGCGTGCAAAAAGGCACTCGTTTGATTCCTCACGTAGCACACAATATATACGGCACTTAAGCCATCCCTATATCCCCCTTTCAATTTGAATAAATGATTTTTCCACTTGTTAAAATAGCTTCACAGGTGGACTGAATCATAAAGGCTAAACCCTTAGGTAGTGTTCATGTATGTGCAGTACTCTGTGAAGACAGTGTGTGGTGTACAGTGGAGGCGATCAGCTGTCTCTAGCCTCACTAGTTCACACAGCTCGTCAGTGTTTCACTTGCTCCTTATGTTCACTAGTGCCTCCTTCCACTTGAGATAGAGGGAAGGAATGGTTATGTTTCCTTCACGAGAGAGTGGTTCAACCTAAGTATCCTTTCCTGCCGCCAAGCACTGCCTTCTGTCGTTGCTTATTTCCTTCAACCTCGTATTTCTTCGACCCGAAGTTACGCTGGTCTGGATCATTGGCAAAATCATAATTTATTTGCATCACTCCCGAGTAACATCTCCATGTATCCAATGGCTGGTTGACATCAAGAGACCAAATACGGTAGGTAAAATTTTCGGTCGTCTGCCCATCAAATTTTGGCGGGTGCCAGGCGCAACGCGCACGCGCGCAGCAGCGAGCGGCGGTTTTGTTGATGAAGATGCGGAATGCCCACTAAGAAAGACCAAAGCAAAAAGAGTCGACTGTCAAGCGTTACCACTAGTAGCCATGGCAGTCCAGAGTCGCCAGCAGCAGTCTCATCGCTGCTGAGATGTGTTCCACGACAGAAACCACTGGTGTACGGACGCGGCCTTCAACTTAGAGTGGCGGAATCGCTCCAGAGCAGCAGACCTTCCCTCCAGCCAGAGGGTCCAGACTCAACGAGAGGCCTGGGGTCCTGTCACCCCACCATTAGAGACTGGAACGAGAGGAGAGCAATAAAAATAATTTCTTCTCCCCTTGTTACTCAACGCGAGAAGCCTACTGGTTCACTGAAAAGCAGATATTTACGAGACAACAGACTAGATGGCTGTGTTCGCAGTAATCAACTGGTAGCGGCTGTACTGGGTGGAAGATCTGGCGTATCATTCGGTGTAAATGATAAGAGTCCAAGTGCACTCTTCACTCAATCCACTCTGCAAGAATCAGCGCCCACCGAAGCAGCTGGTATCACTGCACTGGATAATAGATATGCCCAAAAACGCACAGTACGATTTGCTGAAGAAGATGCGAAAAACAAACCGGCTACTGTTTTGTGTGTTACTACCGCTGGCAGATCTGCTAATACCAGCGACAGAGCCAGCAGACACTCGCACACACTGACATACCCACCCACTCTGTCTGTAGAGAGAAGCATTGACTCCATCTTCTCCAGTGTCGCCAGTCTAACCAGCCTCACAGACTGCCACAGTGGTAGTTTGACATCTATACCTTCCCTCCCACTCATTCAGAGCAACACTTTGAACAAAAGATCTTCCGCCATCAGCTCAGGAAGTAGTTCGAGTTTCATCATCCAGAGTCATCCATCAGAAAGAGACGTCATCTGTCCAATGACAGGGGTTGCGAGTGTGATGGGGAGAAAGGAGCCTAACTGCACAGTCATCGATCTCAGAATCCCGTTTGGGAAGGTTGAGGAATGGGACGTCCCACAAAAGAAGGTACCCATTCAGACTAACACTGTTGATACTGGAGAAAGTCAGCAATCAAAAGACTCGGAGAGTGCGAGTGGCTTAACCAACAACCAAGCCACGTTGAGTAAGTTTGAGTAGCTAGCTATGCAGCATAATTGTGCTGGTATAATACTGTCTTCTGTTTCAGGGAAAATAGATTTTGTAGTATTCAGTGACTTGCCCAAGCAACCAATATCTTCAACCAGGTTAAACACACGAAACACTTTCATTATGTCCAAAAGTGTCTTTATCTTCACAGCTCTTTGGTGGCTACGGTGATGCAGTCCCACCATCCATCTTCTCTCGCTGCTGCACACTGGGGGACTGCAACAAATCCAGGATTTTCACAAAACCACACGCACTTCCGTAAGTCCCTCTTAACTATTATTTCAGCATGTTAAAGATGTGTAGCACAAAGCGCATTAATCATTTGCACTTTCACCAACTTTACTCTGATAGGTAGAAAAACATCTAGAAATCTTAAAAACAGTAAGTAGCTAACTATTTTACTAGCTACCCATACACTAATCCAGCTGGTGCTATAGATGCTGTTGCAGTTGAAAATTTCAGTGATGCCAAAGATTCTTCTAACCCAACCAAGGTCAGTGTACTTTCATCATCATCTCTGCCAAAACATCTGCCATGACTAGCAGCTAAATTTACTCCAGACTCCAGAGAGGACTCTTGCGCCCGTCGAGTTATCTCAGTGTCTTCCTCACACCCTCCGATACCGTCACCTCCTCCCCACACAGCGGAGGTCCTCTCTCCCAGCCAGGCTGGTGGAGCTGTCGTCTTCTACTGATAGAGATCCCAACCCCTCCATGTACATCAGGTCCTACTCTGGCTCTCAGTCCAACCACTGGGACAGGAATGAGCACGCTTCACAGGATACACGTTCACTGGTTGGAGCTAACCGAGCATCTCCACCTTCATCTCACGTTGTTTATGGCTGTACTGGAGATAGTT